CATGCAGTTTTTCCAGCTTAGCATCATTTTCGTTGGAAACTTCGATTTCAAACACTCAGAAAGTTCTCCATGTGCAGTACGAGGGTTTTTACTTCGGTGTTTGTTACTTAACGCCCTCGTGCCAAACTGTAACTGTTTGTGTCAACACAGACTGCAAAGGTCAGACATGCCCAGAGGTGCTCGTAGTATTCAGCACTAAGCAACAAGTGGTAAATAGAAGACCTCATGTTCAGGGCTTGTGAACCTGCAAAGCGTGTGTGCGGTTGAGCTTCATAAAAACATGAATTTGGTGAATATTCAGAGTGATGTCATGACAACAAACATAAGCCAGAAGAGCTAACAGGATCAGGGTTTTTGCTCCCTCTGTCATTCATGCTTCACTCTCATAGTGTATGTCTATATTAGTAAGCCTGAGCTGGCATGAACACACACCCACACATGCAAACACACTCCGAACCGAAGACTGATGCCTCTCAGCTTTGATTTGATGCCTCAGAGCTTTGGGGGATATTCAGTGTCATGATGAGATGCTCTGGCAGCGCTGCAAATATTTATGTGTGGCTAATGTTAACATTAAATCAGAGAGCAGTCTGGTTTGGATAATTATAGATATTACAAGCATAGATGATACACTAAACACTGCGGTTTGTATCGCTGTGAAAGTCGGTGCGATGACACGTTGAAAAACAGACGAAAAACGGAAAAAGGTTTTGGGGCGTACGAGCTGAACTCGGATTTTATTAACTATTGATGGTTTGAGTTCTTTACTAGTTTTAAGCTGATTAAAGGGACAGTGCAATACATGCTAATTATCTATGTAGAGCAAAATGATAACCAATATGCACATTTCAAATTAGGGCTGGGCGATATGGCCTCAAATCAATATCATGATATAATGAGTGGTTCACCTTGATAACGATAAATGGATGATAACTAAAAACTGCTCACCCCCTCCCACATTAACTTCTTCTACTTCAGCCGCTACAACTTTTGAACCGTCCTCCATCTCCTTACCTGTTTTTCCCCTTTTGTTACGGACTGGAATTGGGTGGAGATGAGACCATAGCCTACCTACACACATCCAAAACCAACTTTTATTTATTAATTTTGTTGACATGGAATATACTGATGTGGGCAAAATGACGTTGGTTATTGTCGTAAATTTCGATATTGGTAAATTTCGGTTTATCGCCCAGCCCTATTTCAAATTAAACCTTGATTACATTTGAAATTATGTTACGCTGATTGAAATCAAGCAGTCAAATGGAGAGGAAGAACTTCCTTTGACAGGCAGAAACCTCGAGCAGAACCAGACTCATGTTAGACAGTCGTCTGCTGAGAAAGAGGAAGAGAGAGATGGACAGAACGGCATGATGGAGCTCAGGGACTCCCAGAGAAAACCGTATTAGTGACTTTAATGGGACGTGATGATGATGACACAGATAGAAAGAAGATAAAGAAGGAGGGGAAGGTGCTAAATGTGCCAGTCTAAACCTGAAGAGAGAAATAGAAGAAAACAGACACAAAGCAAAGTTTGGGCTGTGGACGTGTTGTAGGACTGGTGATGTTTGGACTGAAGCATGAGTTAAATTGTGAAGTTAAAAGTTGATTTGACCCACAAGCAGGCTGATATGGATATCACTGCCATCAAATCTGTGTTATTTTTGACTGTCCTTTCATAACCATTATTCAGGGTTCCACACAAGTATGGAAATAGATTTGATCTTAAAAAGAATGGAAAATGAAAAATATTTACATTTCCAGACTGTTACCACAGTTCTAAAATACAGTTTTCTAAAATAGAAATGTAGGTATTTCCTAAACTAACTTGGAAATTCCAACTGTGTAGGAAACCTGATTATTTTCAGCTGATAATATTTGGTTTTGGAAATGATTATCACATTTGCCTCATTTAACAGCCATGTGACACACAGATACCGACTCTGCAGGCAGTTGGAAGCTCCAGTGATGAGATATTACGTACCAGTATCGAACAGTGCGTGTCCTGCAGTGAGACTTTTGTGAATCTGCAGTTGTGGTTTTGAAACGATGCATTCAGCCCCAGTATGTGAATTGAATGTGTTGAGATTCAGATTGTTCATGGCCTCAGGAGGATGAACCACTGAAAGGAAGAACGTAGGACGACTCATAGATTGGCAGACCTTTATTTGTATTTGATAAAGGCCTATGTTACACATGTGTTTATCGAGATTGTTCATTGTCCAAAGAGGGTGAACCTTGAAATATGGATGCATGACTAATGAACAGACTTGTATTGAGTCTGAACCATAAAAAGTTGAACTGAGGCTGATTTATAGATTCGTTAAATTGTAATATCTGTGTAATAAGAACGACTCACTGAGATGGAGAGAGTTTATTGTTCTGAGAGACGGAACTGTTGATGAATCATGTTTTGCTGGATATAAATGAAGATAAATACATATTTTTAAAGGTGTTAGGATGTCAAATTTGGTATCTGTGCATCATTGATAGTACATTTGTTATAGCTTATCAAAGTTTGGAGTTTAAATCTGGAGCTTGTTTGACGTGATGGAAATCTTGGACACATTAAAATCTACTGCTCTTATTCCCTTCTCCTCCTCCTCCTCCTTCCCCTCCTCATAGCGTGACAGATCTGTCACGTCGGCACCTGGTCGTACACAAGTGTTAATGTCCCCACCTCAGCCGGGAATCACTAAACCACTGACACCCTGTAGAAGAAGTGTGTCCAACTGATTATATGAGAAGTTCTGCAGCTTTAGACTCTCTTAAATGTGTCCTCCTCGGTGCAGAACTCACAGAAACACTCATTTTTATCCGATCAAAAGAGCGCTGTGTCTAAATGTGTGTATTGCGATCCGTGTTTGAGTGTGTGTTTCCGTGTGTGTGTGTGTGGTACGGATGCTCCAGTGCCGGGGTCCCGTCCCCTGTCACTCAGAAACAACAAGCCAATCATTCCTGGGTGCTAAAATAAGCTCTCCTCCCCCCTTCTGTCCTCTCTCCCCCTCTCACATGTGCTCCCCTCGTCAGCACCTCTCACCTTCAGAGTGACAGGAGACAACTGAGGGGGGGCGGCGGCGGAGGAGGAGGAGGTGAGGAGGAAACGGGTGACAGCAGAAGAGGGGCAGGAACTTCAGAGACAGGGGGTCAAAATTAGGGGAAAATAGTGAATGTAACAAGTGCGGTACAGATGTGAGCGATCGGATTACACTCCTCAGATACTTGGATCATGACAGAAAGGCTTTATAATCAGCTGATGGCCCCATGATAGGATTTGCAAACCCACGCACACACTTAATGAGGGATTCACCTTTATTTTTGGGGAGTGTTTTTGTTTTTCTCCCTCAGCTTAGAGGGTTTAGACGTTCACAGTTTCCCCAACATGCACCTGCAGACTCCCAACTTGAGGTAAAATCTCACCCCTGCTCACATTTCTGCATGTAAAATAAATCTGTGAGGAGGTGGAAGCCTAGACTCCAAACGTAAACAATGCTCTGCCGCTGTCTCACTCAATGTTATGTAGGGCTGGGCGACACGGGACAAAGTCGATATCGATAAAAATCACGATATAATAAATGAAATTTAACAGAGCTTATTGGTAGCATTTCTTTTGCAATACAATGAGCTGCTGCATCTGTGAGGTCTTTGTGTCTCTTTGACGTTTTGTCGTAAGGCGTTGCTCTAGAAAAAGAGGACTGAATGGTCGGCTGGTTTGGCTGCACAGGCGCCGTGTAACCTTTTGCATTACATGTGCTCAGGTGGTGAACAAGATTTGAGGTATTCCTCGACCTTGCGAGAACATGTACTCGACAGAGTTTTTAGTACACATTACTCTGCTTCATGTCTGACCTCAAAAAAACAAAATACTTCCACACCACCGACGTTTTCATGCATTTCTGCCGGGGTTAGCGCTCATTTTCTCTCTTTCTCATCGCTTCACATATTAAATTTAATACGTGAAGCCGACCCGGAGCAACTCCCCTTTTCGTTAGCTATTTGTATAATCTTTTTAGATAGTTTTATTTTTCTTCTCCCTTTTTCCTTTTTCTAAATTTTTTCTTAATTATTACATTTATTTAAGTTCTTATTATTAGGATCTTTATTTTAATGACTGCATTTTTGCACTTTGTGATGCTGCTGTGACAAAAAGATTTCCCCCTTGGGGATCAATAAAGGAATATTCTATTCTATTCTATTCTATTCTGCTGTATAGTACATATGTATTGTATAGAATGCCTGCTATCGAAAAGCATATTAACCATGTTTTTATTGATATCAAGGAAAATTCATCTTTGATATTTATCGTCATCGTTTTCTCGCCCAGCCCTAACGTCACGTTTCTCACGTACGATTGTAACATCTCAACCTTGGCTGCTCGATAAACACGTATTTTTCCATAAAGAAGTCAACATAGATCAGTCTCTTCCTCCATTCTCATTTATGTTGTGCAGCGAAGATTTAAATCCAGACTTCGCTGCTCAGGATGTTTTCATGGAGTTGCAGAAACGAGTCTCTGCTCTCCGTCTCTCCGGCCTCTCCGTCTCACGCCGCCTGAGCTTGTTCAGGTGTTGAAATGAGTAAAAAAACGACAAAGCCTCGCCGACTGCGAACAGCTCTCTGGAAAAACTTTGGCTTAAACTCTGAGCCGAGCGGGACGACTTTGGAGGAAAAGGAGAAGAGGGGGGTCAATTCTCAGGGATCCACATGAACTTTGAGACTGTGAGGTCACACACTCGCTGACAACTCGGCCACCTGTTGCCACACACACACACTCGCACACTAATGCACGCACACACAAATCAGCACCCTCACACCCGCAACTAGATTCACTGCACGCCCTGCCTCGTGTGACTAGTCAATTCAGCAGAGTTGTAGGTGTTAGTTTGCATGACCATAATACAATACGCACATTTACTGTATGTGTGCCTGAAAGTCGGACTTTCTCTCTCGCTGTTTCCTGTTATTTTTCATTTCACTGGCACCCAGATTTAGAAAAAAACTCATTTTTTACTGTTTTATCAGAAAATATATGCAAAAGCTACAAATCATGAGCAGTCAGTCCTTCATTTTCTTTGTTTTCACAACAAAATGTTAATTTTTTCGCATCAAGAAAAGCGTTTTTAAAGAAAACCCGCCACACATACGGATGTTAAAGCCGTAAAGTTCACTTAAATTAGTAGAATATGGATTACATGTTTACAAAGTGACATGAAAAGATACACTTTATTGGCTCAAAAAGGTCACAGAACACGTTCATGTCCTCGGGCAAAGGGCGTGCCGATATAGCGCGTGTTCGAGAAGAAAAGCTTTTTCAGGCGGGGTTCAGGGTTGGCCGTTAGCGTACCTGACCCGGTCTAAAGAGCAGAAGCAGGTGCATTGAGGTTTTTTAAGTGCGAAGGGGGTCACACGGCCCCTTTATATACACATCCCTCCTCCCTCCGCTATATACAGAGTCATCATGCGCGGTTAAGATTGTCACACGAGGAAAGATGTACTTCAGCCTGACACCCGAGCAGCTGCTTCACGTAAACGTCTGTCTGTTCCTCGCTCTGTCGTCAATCATCATCCCCCGGCTTTGACTCAGTCGGTCCGTAGCTGTCTCCCCGGGTATCTCCCGCGGCTCTTGTCACGACCATGATGTCATTGCGAGAAGGAGTTGGAGTCTTTTTTCAGTCTGAGTGGTCAAAAGTTCCTGTGTGTAGTGCATTTTATACATGAACTACATGTCGATCAATCGGCTGAATTCAATGATTTTGACTTAAAAGATGTAAAAGATGTGTTTAGTAACTTAATCCAAAGTCTGCAAGATTGAGGAGACACTGAAGAAGATCATGTGAGAATTAAAGGGTCTGGTTCAGGGTCTGGCAAGTTCTTGCATGAGTGCCAGGACCGGCCCAGTCCGTATTCAGCACCAGTTCAGTCTCCTTGTTGCAGGATGTTTGTCTCTTCGGTGTCCGCCTCTGCGCGTCCCGCAGAGCGTGCGTAAGATAAGGACTCGGTAAAATATTCCCTTCAGTTCAAGAAGTCTTGACGGACTCTTCGTGGTCTCTCGTCTGTGTCTGATTCTCGACAACCCCGGAGTCAGATTCAGCCCATGTGAGCGGTGACCTGCGAGGCCCCGCTCCCCGCTTGGCTACCTGCCAGTCCTAAAGTCCGAGAGTCAAACAAGAAGCCCTGCTGTCCTCCACTGAGCATGCCCAGACTGTCTGTTAGAGTCCCACTGGGAGACGAGCCGAGAAAGGGACTCGGGTGATTGGCAGTGGCAGCGGCCGCCATTTTATCAGGGCTGGCAGCGAGGCGTGGTGAAGATGGGAATGTGTAACCGTACAGGCTGTAAGGCGGCGTGTGGAGGCGTAGACCGGCGTAGCCCTGCGGCGTGGGGTTAGCGAGATAGCTGAGTTGTGAGGCGGGGAGAGGCAGGGAGCAGAATCCTTCGCTCTCATAGGCGGACGGTCCTCTGGGAGGAGGGAACGGATCTGGAGCGTTGCTGTAGCGGTGCAGAGGGTGCGCGGGTCGGCTGCACGTGTAGTCCGGTGGGCTGAGAGGGCAAACCTGGAAAGGGGAGGAGCATGGGGACGTGGAGAGCAGGTGAGGCGATGCTCCGTGAGCTCCCGGGACCCCTACAGAAACGGAACCAGGGAGAAGAGAAGAGAAAACTGAGTCCACTTGAACAAGTTTTTACTCACGCAAGTATTGCAGATAATTAGCGGAGATAAATCAACAAAAACATCAGAGCTTTAAAGGGATATTCTGGCGTAAAATTAATTCAGGGTCAAACACACCGTAACACTGAGTTAGACACCCCGTCGAGAGATGAATGTTGCCGACCGCTTGCTTCTCTAGTTATACCAACTTTAGTAACAGCCGCACGATAGCAATACACAGCGGTCTGAGGAGCCGTAAACAAACTTCAACAAAGACGCCACTCTATAGCCACAAATAATGCTCAGAACAGCACCTAACTTCATCAACAGGACATATAGGGTCACAGACATTGTACTAGACTCCAAACATCTTTTTAACTTTGACTAATTTCTTTAGCAAAGAGACTAAACACAACTCACCTACTCTCTTCCAGCAGCCGCTTGTTTGTAGCGAGACCTCAGGCCAGTCCATTACCGACTACAGCGGGGTGACGCAGCTCAAGGAAGAACATTTATGATCATTATTTTATCATTTCCTTGAAGTTATAATCACCATATTAATCATTTCACAGACGCGGTAGTTCTTCTACCTTAGCGTCTTGGTCTGATCGTATTTCCATGAAGTAATGATCATAAATGTTCTTCCTTGAGCTGTGGCACCCCGCTGTAGTCCGTAATGGACTGGCCTGAGGTCTCGCCATAAACAAGCGGCTGCTGGAAGACAGTAGGTGAGTTGTGTTTAGTGTCTTAAAAGATGTTTGTTGTCTAGTACTATGTCTGTGACCCTATATGTCCTGTTGATGAAGTTAGGTGCTGTTCTGAACATTATTTGTGGCGTTTTGGTTGTTGTTTGTTTATGGCTCCTCAGACCGCTGTGTATTGCTATCCTGTGGTCGTTACTAAAGTTGGTATAACTAGAGAAGCAAGCAGCAACATTCATCTCTCGACGGGTTGTCTAACTCGGTGTTACGGTGTGTTTGACCCTGAATTAATTTTACGCCGGAATATGACACATGCATATATTCTTCATGTTTGGAAAACTCTACCTTGCTTGGCCATGCCAGGGATGTCCTCAAATGTAAGCGTCCGCAGAGATGGACGCCAGAACGCGTACGACTCGACCAACGCCTCCAGACCCATCCTATAAAACACACGTTAACACGAACACGTTAGCGTTTGGAATAAATCATCAGAAAATCATTTTGGGGCCGAACTCTTTGTCGCCGATGCAGCTGCAGCCGCCGCCGCTCACTCCCAGCATGCCTCACTCAAAGCCTACATTACTCCGACCACCTGGCGGCCATCTTAGACGCCCGTGGGGCCTCTTTTTGCCATCTCCATGGAGACCGCAGGTAATGAGGGGCATAAACGCCACACTGCGATTGGCTGCTGCCAGCCGGGTGCTCGGAGGTAATTGCTTTCACACGGCTTTTACGGGCGAATCAGGACGAAGGAGCAGGAAGCCGCAGCAAGGATTTATGAGGTGGGACTCCCCTTCCCCCCAAAAAAAATCTACATCCCTCTCTCCCTCCTCTAGGTGGGGCAGAGGGCTGCTGTGGCGGGGTAATGCGAGCGCTCAGTTACCCCTCGTTAGCGTGAGGATAAAAGTCCTCCCCCCCGCCGGGTTGTAGCCACGGTGATAATTTAGACAAGCTGCCCGGGGAGGTTGTGTACGCTCTAAAGCAGCCTATCAGAGCAGAAGTTTATTTAGCAAACTGCTTAACTCTTCCTGTAATATTTAAGGCGAGTTTTTTCCAGCCTTCCTGAGTTTCACTTTATAGGGTCAGCTGTCAGGGTTATCCAGTTTGCCGCTCTCTACCTTCCTCCCTCTCGATTTTTCTGTCTCACACGTTCTCCCTCTTCTTCCCCTCCTCTCTAATGATTTCTGCGCGGCCTCAGGGGAGTGGCTGTTCGGAGCCTGTTGGAGTTTTACTGCCGTGTTGTTTTAATGCCGTGTTTATATATGTTTAGAAATGTGTTTATATAGATTTTCTTCAGGACACTCTTGACTTTTATTATTTTGCTGTTGATGTTTATGTTCCCGAGGCCAGGAATCTGACGCTCCATTTAGGTTTGCAGCCAGGGGGTTTAGGTTTTTCCCTCTGGAGGCATGAGCCTGTAACTGTGAGATTGTGGGAATTAATGCGCCTTTAAAGTTAGCACATTTAAATCAAAATGCGTCGCCCGTTAATAGGGTGAAATCATCATATCTGCCACGTCAGCTCGGATTTGTTGGGTTTCTTTTCTCTCGTTTAGGATGGATTTAATGGGAGGCTGTTGCACATTTTCCACGTTGAAAAAAAATAAATAAATACAGAGCTTTACTCCCCATAAAATAGTTCAGAAATAGCTCTGACAAAAACCATATCCAAGCCATGAATATATAATGCAGTCATGCATCCCGCCTCACCCCTAATGCACAGGATAATGTGAAAATCTCTCAGAATGAACTCACCGGTTTCTGCCGGAGTCTCTGAAGCCTTTGGCGAACGGGTTCCTGTCGATTTTCAGTCTTGTGATCTGAAAAGTGAAATAAGACTCTGATTATTCCCAAAATACAAAAACACAAAGTTCAAGATAACATTTACTGTACTGCATCCAATTTAATTCTAAATTTTTGTATTGGTTAGGTTTTGCTAAATCGCACACAATCTACATGTGTGTGTCTGTGTGTGTGTGTGTGTGTGTGTGGGGCTGCTGCAGGCTTGCCCAGACTGTGTGTGGTGTTAAAGGCTTGGTTCTTTGACCCGCATCCAAAGGGACTTTTATAGACATTACCGCCATGTTCTTCAGCCGTCCTGCACCGAGAGCGAGCTAACCTAAACTAACATTCACTGATTTAAAGCAAATAATAACTTAACTGACCTAAAATTGTGGGGAAGTCCTTGAGGAAAAGAAATAAGAAGTAATTAACATAAAAATCCAGCGTTTTTAAATAAAATGGCAATTTTGGCTCCAAATGATGTCCGCCTGAGACTCTTCTGACTAAAATGTCTGTAAAATTGTTACACATCATTTCTATGACACCAAACTTGGAGGGATTGCAGGTTAGATGTTGTAGAGGCAGAGGCATTGGGTTTACGTAACTTTTGTTTTCTAGACGGAGATAAAATTTTGATTTTTTTCTGTAATTTATCTGATACCATTCAAGCATTATAAAGGCCACAGCCGATCTTTCACTTGATTTAGATTATACAAGATATCACCTTTTCATAGACACAGTTGATGAGCTATTACTGATTACTTTGTGGACTTCATTTCAGCTCAGGGTCCAAGTGGTTTAAAAAAAAAAGCATTTACGCACAGAGTTAAATTTTTGTTTTGTTTAAGTTTAGCTAAAATGCACACAATCTGCATTTGTGTGTCTGCTGCAGGCTTGCCCAGGCTGTGGTGGTGTTAGAGGCTTGGTTCTTTGACCCGCGTCCAAAAGGACTTTTATAGACGTTACCATCATGTTCTTCAGCCGTCCTGCACCGAGAGCGAGCTAACCTGAGCTAGCATTCACTGATTTAAAAGCAAAAAAATACAGAAAAATAATGAGTTTCCCTCATCAAAGACTTGAAATATAAATACTTGGAAAATTAAGCGTAAATGATGTCACTTTTTTTCTTGGTGAGGCTGCAGCTCAGACCATTTCTCTAAGACATGCTTTCATGAATCTGTCATCAAAATTCGAACCAGACTAAAGTGCAGAACATCAAAATCTTATTTCTCATTTCATGCTTTCACATCTTGATCTCGAGACGGTCTACAGCTGTGATACCTGTTGATTCTGATACGCTGTGACGGTGGTGAACACGGTTTCAGGGAAGGAGAAAGTGCGCGTCCCCTCCCCTGCAGGCACGGCTCTCACTGGCGATAACTCCTCTCCACACTCCTTGCGGATCACGTGGACCCGCGGCTGGTACTTGTGCATGGAGTGCAGGATGATCTGATCAAAGATGGAAAAAAGAAAAAAAAAAAGATATTCCTTCAGGCTTCAGCTGCCAAAAAAAAAAAACCTGACGTAACTTTAAGCTGTAAAACACAACTGTTGCATAACGAACATGCACACGTGTGGATGCACTGAAGCATGCACCTGCAAAACCAGAGGAATATCAGCATGTAGAGCATATCACAGAGGACAAATCATGCAGAATGATCGATTTCAGAGTAGTATGTTTCATTTTTTCTTAAATATGAAAGTCAATCTTGTTGTAAATATTATGTATCATGCAGATAAATGTAGTTTTATGCTTACAGTCTAATGAATTTAAAAGGTTAATGAAGCTTTTTAAGACAAAACACAAAAGTTAAATCATATTTAAAATAAAAACAAGTATTCAGTGTCACAGCGTTCTTCTCGGTCTCACTTACATGTCCCTGGTCGTCCAGCTCGTTGTTGGTCAGTTTGAGTTTGTCGAAGCTGACCACCTGACGCATCCACGTCTCCCCCGAGGCCGGGGAGTCCGGGTGGATGTAAACTCTGGGCGGGACAGGGGAGTCTGCGTTCCCAGCTACCATCCATTTAGAGCTGTGATACACGTACCTTTAACACACACACAGACACAGAGTGATAAAGGATTAAACCAGTATTCGGTTTTCATATGTCGTGCAAATTAAAGACTGTGCAGATTAGACAGAGGTCGAGATAAGCAGAGAGGGGCTTATTGTAGTAGAACAGAAATATTCACTTAAACATCCTATTATAAGATAAACCCGAAAAATCACCATCTTCTAACAGGAACTTCTGCAATAAACAGACCGTCTGAACCCACTTGAGATAAAAAAATATGAAATTCAAAAATATTTTAACCTCAATAACAAAAACCTTGACTTTCTCACCCTCTTTAAATGAAATCAAACCATTGCTGGAAAACTGATCTTAAAAAAGCCGATAGATCCATGTTGGAAAATAAGAAATACTTTCATGTGTTTTTATTCTCCTATAAAAGTTCATCTATTTTTTACGTTAGACTTTTTATCTCAGACATCTTGAGCTATGCTAATTAGACAGCTTAAATAAATACTAAAAAATGCTGAAAATTAAGGCTAAATCATAATAATAAGGAAATAAAAATGAATTGATAAGAGATGGAATTATAAATCTCTGCCTCACACTGAATCGCATATTTGAGCTTCAGAAATCCTCCACCGAAGATCATCATTATTTCACTTTTACACTAGAACAGAACTAAAGATATAATTTTGAATGATATATTTCTATGCAATTAAATCAGATGTTGGTTCATCAGGTTAAAGGTGACTTAATCACCTGCAGACTCTTCCTCATGCAGAGCTCTGAGCCCACTGCACTTGTATGTTATATCTGATCAGACTGCAGGATAAAAGCGTATATAATATGCTTCCTCACTCATCACTCAGGCTGCTAAAAGTGTCCCACCAAAATGACAGACCAATAAGTGTTTATATCATGGACATAACTGGCTGCATCGGTCGCACAATCACGTTGTTTTTTCTACATTAAATCAACATTTGCTGGTTTGACCTCGCAGTCTGGAGAGGTTATAGACGCCCAAAAGGCCCTTTCTCCAAACGGGGACAGCAAAACCGCCGTGACTGTGAACACCCGAGCCAAGCGCCATTTGTGGGGCTGCACGATAGAAAAAAAAACACTCTCACGGTGTCCAAGAAACACTTTGTATAGAGTCTAAATTCAGAAATGCAGTTTTACTCTCTTATAGGCCACAGACAAGAACCTCGTGATGCTGGGAATAAAACAGCTGAGGACACTACACACACACCACGACGTTTCTGTGCGTGTGTTTGTTCATGTCTCACCTGTATCGCTTGTTGTCCACGGGGATTATATCCATGGCGATGTAATACTGCTGATGGGGGTCCAAACCCGTAATCTTTACGCGCATAGCAGGGAACATCCGCCTGACAGGAAACATGAATAAATCATCTGAGTTACAGGTTTCAGTCCGGCCCAGGACATTAATACTCAAGAATAATAAAGAAAATCATAAAAATGCAAAAAGAAAATGAACGTTTAGCTGTTATTTTATTACATCTTTTGGATTATTTTATCTCTAATTACGCAAAATCAAATAAGACTGAGTGCGTAAACATGTATTTTTCATCTCATTTAGGCCTACATGCATGCCGTAAAATCAACATTTTTTAGTGCAAATGTAAAGCCCTTCTCACCGTCCAGCCTTGGTAATAATCATTTCCGTGCCAATCTCGTGGAACCGTTTCCACAGGTCTGATCCCTGCAGGTCCACGCGGGTCTCCTCCCCGGTGCCGGTAAGCGGCGCCGCGCACAGAGCTGCGGGCTGCGGGCTCTCCAGCAACGCGTCCTCGCTCTCTGCTGCAGCCGAGGAGAGAGAAAAAGAGAGAGGAAATAAACACGTTTTTTAATGGAAACACAGACATCCCAGCCAACAAAAAGGCATCAGACATTCAGGCTACAAGGTGTTTTACAGTTTTTGGTCTCCGTTGTTAATGAGGAGACTGAAACATTACAGCAGGACGGGTTTTATTCAGCGACGAGGCTCGTTTTGTATCTGACATAAAGCTTTAAATTCGACTATTAATGAAAGACGTCGTGCGCTTTAATCTGCAGCTGTAGATCGATGAAAAACACTTTCAGCAGCTCATGAAAAGTCCATGTTTTAAAACACACTGCTCTCTATTTTATAGCTCGGTTATTTTTAAGAGATGAAATGCTTTTTAGTGATTAAACCCATTAAACTTCCTCTTAATAAGAATAGAAAGTCATTTTGCATTTGTGTCTTTAAACCTGAGGTCAATTTAAAGCCATTACTGAATCGAGGGCCTGTTAAACATGGTTTATTATGATGCTGCAGAAAAATGGCAAGTTTACTATTCACTCGTTACTCCATACTCCAATTTAACTCCAAAATAGCGGCTGTAGGGTATTTTTATGATGGGGTACTCTTGGTAAAAAAGTCTTTCAATAGCGAAGACATGTTTAGAGGATAGTCTAATAGCAGTGTTTATGCGTCTCTCTGCAGTGTTTTGTATCGTGGAGGAAATTTACGCACACCAGACGTGGTTCTAACAAGCCAGAGTAACACTCAGACGAACCCTCAGCTCGGTGTGTTTTCAGCTTCAATCCTCATTTGTCAGGGCCCTTTGTGCAGACCTCTCAGCATCCTCTGCTCTCCTGCTGCCCCGGCCTTTACGCGCTGCTAATTGGCGTGTTTATGATTGCAACACAACTCATAAAGCGGCTCACATTAGTCACACTCACACCACTCATATTTACTAGACCAGGGCCGTGATATTATATCACATTTCCGCCCTAAGGGCTCCGACCGTAGACGATGGTTGTTTGGTTTAAAAATGTCCACTTTGGCTTTTTATTTCTGATTTTTTTTTCCCTCAGCAGAAAGTTTTATTTTAATATGTGTGAAAACAATAAGAAGAAAAACAAGTTGAAGAAGTTTCATGGAGCAGTTTTGACCTCGAGAAGGAAACCATAAAAACCCTATTTTTACGCATTTGTGTTTATATCAGTCTGTGCCATGTCGTGCCTTTAAATAAGATCTGTGATGAAGTTTAGATTAAACTTCTTAAAGTGATCTGACCCATGTTTAACTGCTTAAATCATTAAAACAGAAACATCCCATAATAATATAATATAGTATAATAGGCCTGTTTGGTTGCCAAGTAACACTGCATCGTAATTTCAGTGACCTTTTATTCTCTTTCTCTGTTTTATCCAAACTATTTACTTACGGGATCCGTCGCTCGCACACTCCGCCTCGCTGCCCCGGTCGCTCGTGCATGCTCTGTCGGCTCGCGGCCCCGGGCTCCCGGTCAGATCCGACACATCAGTCCCGTCGTCGTACACGGGTGACACGGCCTCCTCTCCGGTTGTAGTCGTCGTCGTCGTCCTGCGTCTTTTCTCCGCACCGATCAGCGCCTCCACGGAGAACGCGTGCGCCTTGACGCTCAGCGCGCACGGGGACCTCCGCTTCTCTGCCATGTCTCGGTCAGAGTGAGGGTTAGACGGCGTCACGAGCTCAAGGGGAGCAGGAAAAGTTCACAGCTCAAAGAAAAAATAGAAGGAATCCACGATGTCAATCCAGGAGCTGCTCAGGGTGCGGCGGGTTGTCCTTCCTCGAGCCGGTAAAGCAGCAGAAACAAGGCGAGCCGGCACGAGCTGCAGTAATGTCTCCGTTATCCGTGGGAGCCGCGCGGACTTTAGGAGAGTGTCAACAACCGGAGCTTAGAGGAGAGCCGGAGAAGTGGACCTGTCAATCACAAAACACGGGAACCAATCAGGAGTAATCACAGCCCCCCGGAACTTTGGGGCTGGTCCCGCCCGCTGTGGGGGCCGCTCGTGCCGCCTTATGTGGTCAAAGTAAAGCTGGTGATTGAATCAGGTCTTCAGGGGAAGGAGCGCGAGGAGCGTCTCTCTCTCAGGGGGGCATTACGCGCATTTTCACACACCGGCTCGACATGCTTTGCATATCTGCTCATTAGTACCTCCTGCACGGCGGACACTCGTGACCCTGAGCCGAGAGCGTGTGTCAGACATCCGAAAGAGTGTTTGAACATCCTAAAACTGTGAGCAACTTCACATCAGTCAGAATAATTTAATCCTTTAGATGACTTCAGGCTCAAATGCCATAAAAAAAGTTAAATTTCTGATTTTCTTTCTTTATTATTGTGACCAAATCAAAACAAAACACGTTCACAAACACCAGAAATACACTTAACTTTTGGCACGATGTGTGTTTGAGTCTAATCAGTTCCAAACGTTTCAACATACACATAAAAACAAAGATGTTTACCCTACATATATAAAGAAAACTTGAATAAATGTGCGTAAAAGTCCGTATTACGTAATTCCAGTCCTGGTTTCACTGCAACAACAAATATACAAAAATGGTTTTATAGTGTGATAATACACACATAGTCATAAACTGGTGCAAAAGCCCATATTTAAATATCCTTACAAATATAGGGTTGGTCACTGCTGCCAAGTCTACATTATATATATTTTCCTTGGGGTCAAATTGGAGTTCATTGTTTGAGGTTTAATGATTTTCCTCATCGTCTGGTTTCGTATTTTTTTGACAAGTTTATCAAACTAAAAATTTTCAACCATTTTGCAGCAGTCATTGGATTAATTAATGTAAAAGCAAAAATCCTGATAGTGACGTAAAAGGGTCAAAAATAAGTAAATAAACGCGCATACAGAAATGAGTGAGACGGTTTTACGCACGTTTGGAAATTATTTTACGCACAATGAAAGCAAGCGTAAAGAGCGTGCGGAATGCTAGTGCGTAAAGGAGGGAGAACCTGTTATAAATAAACAGGTCCGTGCGTGAGAATGTCCACGCGTGGATTTCTCGATGGACATGACTGACCACAGAACATTTTCAAATGGTCATTTTTTCATATCCACGCTCCAGTGAAGTCTTAATTATCCAGTTTTAATTCATCACTGGACGTTTTCTGCTCCTTATCAGAGTCGTGCCGGTGCACTTCCATCTGATTATGTGAAATGCCATTAGTGGCATCAGGGTTTAATTATATCCTGAGGTTTCTCCTTGCTTCAGTGATGTTTCCTCTGCTAAAATCACTGCAGAGCCCATAAGGCCTCTCGTGGCTTGTTGGTAAAATAAACAACACGTCCTCGTCGTTTATTGGCATAATTTCAGTGTAAATGATTGGACGTCAAGAGGAAGGTCTGGACTCAGATCCGCGTGGGTTTATCAGATCAAAAAGCCTCGCGTCTCACCTCCCGTGGGGATTGAAAAATGTTTCATTTCTAATAACTCCGTGAGAATTAAATAGGCTACGCTCCGTTTGCAAAAGCGTTTCGATTGAACATAAACATAAAGCGGTATGACTTCATTTCTGCGAATAGTTTTAAATGTAAGGACAAAATGTTTGCGTGGATTTGATCACAAACAGATTCAAAGACGAAAAGACGATGTTAACGATTAGCCTACATTATAAATACAAGATTAGAGCTCATAATTAAGGTAAATATATCAACGGAAAATAAACGAAAACGTCAAGGAATTACATTTTATTACCTTTTTATAAAGTTTTTTTTATTCTTCCGAGGTAGAGATTAAAATAATTATTTATAATTGTCAACAATACTGATAAAAATTGTCATTACCATCTTAACAAAAATACTAAGATAAAAATAATTAACAAATAAACAAATATAATAAAAGTAAATAATAAATAAAAAACATCTATATAAATTAATTAATAATTAATGAATAAAAAATCAAAAGGAATGTAAAAATGTAAATCTGTTATAATAATGATAATAAAATATAAAGATAATAGTTATAATAACAATGATAATGATAATATAAATAACAGCAATAATACTAAAAATAACAATAAAAATTATGATAATAATAACAATGATAACAATAACAACATTAATATAAAAAATGACAACAATGATTGTTATGATTATAACAATAATAATAATAATAATAATAATAATAATAATAATAATAATAATAATAAAAACAATAATATTTAAAATAACAATAATAATAATAATAATAATAATAATAATAATAATAATAATAATAATAATGGGCCTTTTAAAAAAAACATTTATTACCCTACCTTGACTGCAGTTGGAAGCAGCATTATATATATTTCATAAACATATTAGTCTTGTGCTCTTTAACATTATAACTGCATTGTTCGTATTACATATTGCAGAATACGAGACTTATGGTTTTTTGGTCTTTACTTACTATGTATAACATATCGTTTTTAAATTAGTCGATGTTCGAAAAGAATAATAAATAAATGTTGAAAAAGTAGTTGAAATGTCTTCATCAAAACACGAATTTCTGCGGACTTCATAAAAAAGACTTTAATTGTCGTGAGCAGGTGCACTTTCATACGATCAGTTCCTATAATAGACGAGTAGTCTCTACGATTATTCAACATTTATGGTTTTTATTCTTTAGGATTTCCCCACAGCTAATTCTCTTATCAAAATGCGCAAAGAGAAAGAAATGAAACCGCTGATTCCACCCTCAGGCCTGCTGTTTACTGCAGATAGGCCCATAACTACGTTATAAGCAGATGTCCATCAACCCTATTGGTGGTCGAACATCCAGAAACAAAAATACAACTTCTTTTACTCTAAAGCCAAGATGACCCGAGGCTTTTTGAATTGGATTAGATTATCTGAACCTCTTAAAGTAGAAGGTTTCTTTTTTTTTTCTCTGCGGCCTGGCGACTAGTCCTAACTCTGCTTTGGCCGTAAAAACTGTGGGAAGCTCTCTGTCGCCAACCCTGTCTTTTATTTCCTATATGGATTAGCCAGACTGGCTGCTATATAGAAAGGACCGTGAAGCTGTGTTTTGTACATCACCCACGAGAGAAGAAGAAAAAAAAATCCTGGGCGTTGTGAGTGTTTGACTCCACTATTTTCTGTGATTTTATTCTTCCAAATGTTTGGGTTTGACCCTCTTAAATGTCATGTTGCTGTTTTTATCTATTGTCTCAGTTTGACAGCACCTGAATTTAACGCATGTGCAGTTTAATACCTGAGTTGGAAATGTTGGTGTTGCTCTTCTCCGTTTAAACAAATGTTTCACGTTTTGTCTCATGACTATTTATTGGGGCTGTTCGTTAAATATGGAAGCTAGAAGAGACCAAAACAACTGTTAGCTTATGGAAAGAAATACGACAATGTAAATTTACCTCAAACAGACAAATTTAAGTCGAATAAAACCGTAATATATCTATTAAGTCGTTTAATATCAATGTTAGCTTATTATTTGACGATATGGTTTTGCCTACTAGCCTTATTAGCTCGTGCTCAAGCTAAATAGAATCGTCGCGTGCAGTGTCATTTTCAGCCAATCACAGCCCGGCTAATCTCGACAAGTCATTTTGTCACCGTAAAGGTAGGCGTAACCCACCGCGCGCCGAATAGGCTGTTTATTATTAAAAACCTTTGACATAATTACCTGTGCGCTTTGAAGGCACGCGGGGCATTGGTAGAAGTGCCAGAGCAGGGGAGTCTGGGTAATACATTGTTAACAGTTATTTAGCGCGCGCTAATGGGCACGTGGATCGCTGCCAGGGCTTTTATGGCGGAAGTGGCATGAGCGGCAGGGAAGGTGTGTGGGGTTTGTGTGAGTGTGTGTATGTGGGGGACACACACACTCTCTCTCTCTCTCTCTCTCTCTCTCTCTCTCTCTCTCACTCTCACAGACACAGACAGACACAGACAGAGTAAGGCAACAGTGTTAAAGGCTCATTTTAAAGGATTCCTGTCCACACTTTAGTTATGTGCCAGTTTTATCTCCCCCCTCAGTGGTTTAATGCATCAACTCTGGAGGGATGCAGGGATAGATATGTACGGTGGCCGAGAACTGCCGCTGCTGCAAATAAAAAATGATGCAAAAAAAAAGGAGCCACAATGGAAGTTACAGAAGTTACAAAAAAAGTTACAAAAAAAAAGAGAAGAAACCAAAGCCCACTGCAAATAAAAAGAAAGGATGCAGATTTAAAAAAAAAAGCCACAACGAAAGTTACCAGTGCAGAAAGAAAAAAAAGAAAAGAAAAGAAACCAAAGCCCGCTGCAAATAAAACAAGAAATGGTACAGATTAAAAAAAAAAGCTGAAATGGATGTAACCAATGCAAAAAAAAGAAAGAAAAGAAACCAAAGCCCACTGCAAATAAAAAAAGAAATGGTACAGATTTTAAAAAAAAGCTGAAATGGAAGTAAGCAATGCAAGAAAAGAAGAAAGAAAAAGAAACTGAAGCCTGCTGCAAATAAAAAAAGAAATAGTGCAGATTAGAAAATTAAAAAAAAAAGCCACAATGGAAGATACTGATGTAAAAAAAAAAAAAAAACAAAGAAACCAAAGCCCACTGCAAATAAGAAAATAAATGGTGCAGATTTAAAGCCACAATGGAAGTAAGCAATGCAAAAGAAAAAAAAAAAAGAAAAAGTAACCAAAGCCTGCTGCAAATAAAATAAGAAATGGTGCAGTTAAAAAAAAAAGCAAAATGACACATTAAAAATTTACAAAGCGAAATTAAACAATAACCTTTCCACTTACTTCTTTGCTCGTCTTCTCGCCATCGTCTTCTGATCGTAGCTCACTTCAATTGTGGCTTTTTTATTTGCATCCTTTTATTTTCGCACTAAGTAACTTTTTTTTTTTTGCATTGTCACTTTTTTTTGTGTCGTTTTGGGT